GAAATGAAATTGGCAAATAAAAGAGCTGTCTGCACCTCAACGTTTATTGCAGCTCAATTCACAATAGCTAAGACCTGGAACCAACCCAAATGCCCATCAACAGTAGACTGGATAAAGAAATTATGGGACATGTACTCTATTGAATACTATACAGCAGGCAAAAACAATGAAATCTGGTCATTTGCAACAAAATTGTGGAATCCGGAGAACATCATCCTGAGTGAAATAAGCCAGTCCCAGAGGGACAAATATCATCTGTTTTCCCTGATCGGTGACAACTGACTGAACACCAAAAAGGAAACCTGTTGAAGTGAAATAGACACTTTGAGAAACAGTGACCAGACCAGCTCTTGTTCTGACCGTTGATGAACAACTTAATACTTTATCCCTTTTAGTATTTTTTTTGTTCTACTTAATACTATTGGTGAACTCTTTAATTAGCACACAATTATTCTTAGGCATTTAAATTTAACTGTAAAGTGATCCCTGTTAAATCTAAAAGTGGGAATAAGAGAGGGAGGAGATGTACAATTTGGGACATGCTCAATCGGACTCGCCCCAAATGGTAGAGTTAGAAACATACCAGGGGATTCCAATTCAATCCCATCAAGGTGGCATGTACCAATGCCATCTCACTAGTCCAAGTGATCAGTTTCAGTTCACAATTGATCATAATGATAGGATAAAGAGTCAAAGGGATCACACAAACAAGACTAGTGTCTGCTAATACTAACTGACAGAATTAAAAAGGAGAGAACGATCCAACATGGGAAGTGGGATACACAGCAGACTCATAGAATGGCAGATGTCCTAAACAGCACTCTGGCCTCAGAATCAGCCTTAAGGCATTCAGATCTGGCTAAAAAGCCCATGAGAGTATTTTAGGCATGGAAAGCCAAGACACTCTGGGAAAAAAAAAAAAAAAACCCAGATGAAAGATCTCTGTGAGTGAGATCTCAGTGGAAAGACCTGGCCATCAAAGAAGGTGGTACCTTTCTCTAAAGGGAGAAGAGAACTTCCACTTTGACTATGACCTTGTCTAAATAAGATCAGAGTTGGCTAACTCAAGAGGCTTCCATTGCCTTGGCAGCTCATGACAAGAGCCTAGGGTGATTACTGACACCATAAACAAGAGTGTCAATTGTTAAGTCAACAACAGGAGTCTCTGTGCACTTACTCCCCATGCACTTACTCTCTGTACTTAATGTGTTGTATAATGTGAATTAATGCTATAACTTGTCTTCAAACAGTACTTTATACTTTGTGTTTTTGTGTGGGTGCAAACTGTTGAAATCTTTACTTAGTATATACTAAACTGATCTTCTGAATATAAAGATAATTGAAAATGAATCTTGATGTGAATGGAATGGGAGAGGGAGTAGGAGATGGGAGGGAAGTTTTTGGGGCAGGGGGTAGAAAGCCAGTGTAATCCAAAATCTGTATTTTGGAAATTTATATTTATTAAATAAAAGTTAAAAAAAGAAATATGGAAATTAAAAACCAAAAGAGGTGCTAAAACAATTGGGTAGGCTGGCGCCGCGGCTCACTAGGCTAGTCCTCTGCCTGTGGCGCCGGCACACGGGGTTCTAGTCCCGATCAGGGTGCAGGATTCTGTCCCGGTTGCCCCTCTTCCAGTCCAGCTCTCTGCTTTGGCCCGGGAGTGCAGTGGAGGATATCCCAAGTCCTTGGGCCCTGCACGGCATGGGAGACCAGGATAAGCTCCTGGTTCCTGGCTTCGGATCAGCGCGGTGTGCTGGTCACAGCACACAGGCCACAGTGGCCATTGGAGGGTGAACCAATGGAAAAGGAAGACCTTTCTCTGTCTCTCTCTCTCTCTCACTGTCCACTCTGCCTGTCAAATAATAATAATAATAAAAATTTTAAAAAAGAAGAATTGGGCAGAGTGGCTCAGGAGTGGTTAAGGAGAGGTATTCTATTTTTTGTTATATGTTTGTAGTACAATAAGACCTTTCAACTGTATGCATGGACTATTTTGATACTTTATAAGCAGATATATATTCCTGAGAAGTCTAACTTGAAATACTATCTAGCTTATATAGAGGCACTTTCAGAATACTACAAATCATATTTGTGATCACTTTAAAATATAATATCTCTAATAATGCTATTCCAATCTGATTAGATGTTACATACTGCATCATGACAATAAAAAAGTTTATCTTAGGAAAAATGTTTCTAAGTTTTTTATTACATACTATTTAATTTTGTGATAAAAATATTTAATTTTCTAAAGTCTGAGATTTTTTTAAAAAGATTTTTATTTTTGTTAAGAACTGGTAATAAAATTTTATGTCTATAAGAAGACTGAAGGTTAATTCTTCCCGAATTAAAAGAACACATTTGATATTCTATAATTGAGATCTTAAGGTTAACAGAAAGATATTTTTCCTTGCATTGATTTTATTTTTTTTAAAATCTATTCATAACTATTCTCTTGGTCCTGTCTTTGGCTGATTTATAATATTTTGGTATTATTCATACATAGGTAAATTGTTATTCATAATGCAAGTGGCTGGCAGTTGTGAAGCCAAGAGATGTGCAGGACAAAGAGTTTCTGTGTTCAGAGATGGACAGACCTAGATTCAAAGTTCAGCTGTATGCGTTTGAGCACACCACTGATCCTGTCTCTTCCTCTGCAGGTTCATTATGGGGATTAGAATAATATATACAAAATACCAGCAAAGAACATGGCACAAAATACATATTTTAATTAATGATGTCTATTCTCCTTTTTCTTTTCCTCTCTGTGGCTCTCAGGCTGAATTTTAAGGAATTTGTCAACTTTTCAGTCAAAATATCTCATTCAAATCTTGATATCCCTGCTTATGAGGCTGTGACTCTTAGGGTAGCTATCTACTCTCCTTAGTCATGGAAACAGCAGTTTCATCATAGGCTTAATTATGGAAGCCTTGTGAGGAGGCAGTGGTGAGGAAAACGCATATTCTACTAGCACAGTGCCTGCTTTGCAAGTAAGTTCTCATGAACAGTAACAGCAATCATAACAAATTGAAAAACACACTTTCTACTCAAAGCAAACTGAAGTAACAGAAATGCCTAGGTCAATAATCACATTTCCTTTTTAAAAAAGTTTATTTATTTTCATCTACTTAAAATGCAGAGCAAAAGAGTGAGCAAGAGAAACAGAAGTATCCTCCATCTACTGGTTCATCCTTTAAATGCCTGTAATAATCAGGGCTTTGCAAAGCAAACCCAGGAGCCTGAACTCCATCTGAGTCTCTCACATGGGCACAGGGGCCCAAGAAATTGAACCATCATCTTCTGCCTCCCAGGATGCAATAGCAGGTGGAATATCTGGGACTCAAATTGGTATTCTTCTATGGGATGCAGGTTTCCCAAGAAGTGGCTTAACCCACTGCACCACAACACCTGCTCCCAAAATTCTATTTCCTAAAGTTATATGTACATGTGGCCTAATTTAACCATTTACCCATTATAAAAAAATTAGAAGATGTCTTCTAATAAATAACTTACATTCTTCATACCCACAGAAGATGGATTCCAGGACCCCTGAAGAAACCAAAATTATATAGGGGGTCGGCATTGTGGCATAGCAGGTAAAGCCACCACTTGCAGAGCCAGTATCCCATATGGGCACCAGTTCAAGTCCCAGCTGCTCCAACACTTCTGATCCAGCTCTCTGTTGTGGCCTGGGAAAGCAGTGGAGGATGGCCAAAGTTCTTGTGCCCCTAAACCCACGTGAGGGACCTGAAAGAAGCTCCTGGCTCCTGGATTCAGATCGGCGCAACTCCGGCCATTGCGGCCATCTAGGGAGTGAACCAGCAGATGGAAGATCGATTTCTCTCTCTCTCTCTCTCTCTCTCTCTCTCTCTCTCTCTCTGCCTCTGCCTCTCTGTAACTCTGCCTTTCAAATAAATAAATATTTTTTAAAATTACATAGTATTTGCATAAATCCTGTATACATCCTCCTGTATACTCAGTCCTCTCTACCTTACTTATAATATCAAATAAAATGTAAGTGCCATGAAAATGGTTGTTATATTATATATTTAGGAAATAATGACAAGGAAAGAAGTCTGTATGTGTTCAACACAGGCACATTTTTTCTGACTACTTTCATTCCATGGCCAGTTGAATCCACAGATATGATAGAAACCAAGGATATGAAGGGCTAAGTGCATTTATCTGTAACCACTGCTCAGTTTGGTCAGGTTGGTAGAGAACCAGCCCTTCCTTCGGGCCCAATCTCTACCACACATGTATTTCATTCATAATTTGTTTACTTGTCCTTTTCTTACAGTCATTCAGTGGTATTGCCTGTAGGACCAGCACAATTCCAAGATTTTTCTCTTACGTATGTTTTCACCTTTTGGCAAAAGCATTGTTTTCCCTACAAGGCCAGTGGCATTACATTACTTATATTTCAGTCATGGGCCATTGAGATATTACATGGGAAACAGAAGATACATTAGCACTGTTGTTTAATAAATAAGTTAGGGTATACAAAGTCTCCTAAAACACTATTAGAACAATGAGCTAGCAGACTAAAACAAAACAAACCACTAATCTATTTTCAGAAACTATCTATTTGATTAAATACAATCCCAATCCAACTAGTATGCAACTTTTTTCTTTCTTAATGATGCAAGTCCAGATGGAACATTTATTATATGTTTGTGTTGTTTCAAGAAGTGCAAAGGTAATTCTGTCACAGTTTGCCACCCCCAAAACTCCCACTTAAAATGAAGTCACAAGCAAAGGCTTTTCACTGTACAAAACTTCCCTTTTATAGAGTCTGCTTAAAAATGTAAGCAATTTTACAGATGGAAGAGCTGAGTAATTTCTTAAAGGTCATATTTCCCTCCAAAATTTACCCTTACATTCTCATTTTGCTGTGTGGAAATTTTTTGTTTAATTCTGAATTTAAGGTTGTAGTGACTTTAAAGTTGGGTACTTTTGCAGTATGGAAGCAGCATTTTTATACCAAGAAATTTCCTTACCTTGTTCTTGTGCATGAACAACAATTCCAGCCACACATAGCAGAATAAAATGAAGAGGCAGGTTCCTAAAAAAAGAAAAGTACAATCAGCTAAAATACACTGGTTTGCTGGACATTTACAACATGTGAATCATAAAAACTCCAAAATAAACTTTACTGTAATATTAGAAATTAAATTATTTTAATCATATTTTAATAATATTTGTGGTTAAGAGCAAGAGCTCTGGATTAAAATTCCAGTTCTACTAATATCTATGTGACTTTTGCACACTTTTTAAGCCACTCTATTTCTCAGTTTCTTCATCTGTTAAATCTATCTCATAAAGTTAATTTGAAGATAAACATAAGAAAGTCTCTGGTGCATAGAAAATACTCCATAAATGTGAACTACCATGAATGATTTTTTATTTATTATGTCAAATTACCATAATTGCAATTTCATACATAGCAATTTCATATTTACAGTAAATAACTCAAATTAAATTACTTAACGATAATGATTAAGTTATAATCAACTTATAATCCAGTTATTTGTTTCAATGAATGTTTACATGTTAAGGCCATTTGAATTTCATAGTTAAATCTTTTATACTCGATTCAAGATTCTTTGGTTCTAGAAAAGCAAAATGGTCTATAAACGTCAACGCTGAGTATTTTTATTACGGGTAATTCTAAGCCCAATACCTGATCTCTACAATAAAATGATCATTCAAATTGATCAGCTCTTACTAAAAAAGTTTTGTGACGTTTTCAGTTCAATAAAACTTGAAGTTTTTAGTTATATATTTGAGAGGCAGAGTAACAGACAGAGACAGGGAGAGACAGAGAGAAAGGTTTTCCATCCACCGGCTTATTCCCCAAATGACCACAATGGCCGGAGCTGGGCTGACACACAGCCAGGAGTTTCTTCAATGTCTGCCATGTGGGTGCAGGGACCCAAACACTTAGGCCATCTTCCATTGCCTTCCCAGGCCACAAGCAGAGAACTGGATTGGAAGAAGTGCAGCTGAGACATGAACAGGCGTCCATATGGGATAGCAGGTACCACAGGCAGAGGCTTAGCCTATTACTCCAAGCATTGGCCCCAGTATGACTAAACTTTTGATAAATTTTGTTGAATAGTTTTCACTATTGGCTATACGTGTATCGGTATCCACAGCCCAAATGAAAATCAAGAGTGAATTTTGGAAAGAAATATGAGCATGCTGAAAATTCTTACTAATCCAGACACTGATTCCATTTTTTTTTTAACCAAAAACTCTTCAAATGACATTTCTGTAAAATCCAGATCTGTAAATAGTGATTACAGAGTTACCTGGAAATAACATATTATTTTTATTGTTTCTGGTGGTAATTAGTGTGTTTTCTATTTATTATGAACAAGATGGCTTTATTTTCATCAGCAGTAGAAAGAACATCTTACCGTATGAAAAGTAATCTTTTACAAAGTTTAAGTCAACATAGAAAATTATACTATTCTTTATATGCTGGAACACAAATTTAATTTGTATCAAAATGGTTCTTACACTGGTTAGTAAGTAAAAAATGCACATTCTATGGTTAGACCAAGTCCAGAGCATAGTTCTAGTAAGATTTTGGTAGACACCTAGGAAATGTTACTAATTCTACAAACTAATCAAATGAATCATTATAAAAATTTCCGTTATCTTGGGCAATGAGCAGAATCATCTATTTTAATGAAGCCCATAAAACATTCCCATATGTGGTATCATCCTTTTAGATCAACAATTCCAAATGCTGAATTACCAAGAACGATTTAAGGTGCTTGTGAACAATGAAGATTATGGACCCTGTTGGAGAGATTATGATTCAAAAATAGATCCCCCAGCATGTATACATTTAAACTGGGTGATTATGATACAGATTACATGTGTAAAAATAGAAAATAATTTAGAACATCCTGTTTGTGTTTACATTGTAATTGAAATAGATATCATTTATCATATATAGCTGACTCTGTGACATTATGCAAATATTATTTGATCCTTTTCAGATCCTTTTCTACTGCACTAGTCAGTGGCTGTCAGTTTAGTAGGCATCAGAATCACTTGAGAGGTTAAAAGCTGCTGGGCCTTACCCCAGAGTTTGTGATTGAGTAGGTTTGGGTTTGGACTCAAGAACTTAATTTTATAATGAGTTTCCAGGTAATGCTGATGCTGCTAATCTGAGACCTACATTCTACAGACACAGCTCCAGAACAGAAGATGCGCAAGAGATTGTGTAAAATTCACCTGTTCTGGATTTTTTTAACTTTACCTGCACACTGGAATCACTATGGAATTAACTACTAATACTTAGGTCCTTCCCTCCTCCACTCGCAGAGATCCTTATTATGTCCACGTTATAGGCATTTTTTAAACACTTCCCAGATGATTTTACTATACAAACAAGATTAAGGACTACTGTGCAAGACCAAAATAATTTCTGGGTTCTCTAAGGTAAATCCTAATGTAGTACAGTGTTTGAATAAGATGTTCATTCCTCTTCCAAATTTATATTTCAACACATAACTTACATACTGAGATTGATAAAGAGCCAAACTCCATTATTGTATAAAATGTATCTCTAATGAATTTAAGTTTTCTGGCAAATGTTTGGTTGGGCTGGAATTGTTTCTTTGGGTTCCCCTGCCCCTACCTCTACTCCACTAATGATTTTAGATTTACTATACATTGTCTTAATTAAGAAAAACTACACGGTTTCCTACTTAGCAGTAGGTGGTACAGTTCTCAAAGGCTCTGAGCATGGAGTTTCCATGTGGTGCTTTGGATATAGTGCTCATACATCCTGGAATCTTTGAATAAGTTATAATGATAAATGTAGTAGGTAGAGAGAAAACAATATGGTTAATAAGAAAATAACAATATATTGGGAGTCAAGACTAATCCTGGTCTTGTTTTAACTCACTGAATGACCTTGAGTATGTCATTTCTATTTTATGAGTCTTCGCTGATTCATTTATTATGTGCTGACATCATATTTATTTCATATGTTTACATTTTACATCCAAAATGTAAAATCCTACAATTTGTATATGATAGAATCTCCCTAAAGGAGAAAATTCAAATTACTTAAGAAGACATTCTACAAATCACAATACACAATATATACACATGATATACATAAATAATTTCCACAAATCTGGAAAGGTTTTTCCTACACTTTTGGCCTAACACTCGTCATCAGGTAACTTAAAATAGTCTACTAAGTTTACTAATTCATACATGTATTTAGTTTAATCTAACAGAAAGTTCGGTTATTGTATTAGATATGAATATTTTTCAAATATTTAAAGCATTTCTGGTTTTACTCAATGTTTCATATATCTGGAACACATGACCCTAATCAAAGTAACAGAAGTACATACACTCAGACATTCAACAAAATCAGACAAATCAAAAAGAAATCAACATTAAGGTAAGAAACATTTTATAAAGGTTCAAAAACCATACCCATGATATTGATATCTGAGGATGTCTAACAAAATGTAAAATACTACAGGTGTCCCACTAGCCACATTTTCAGTTTGGCACGAGCCCTGTTCAAAATATAGCCAGACATGTAAAGATGAAAACCTGCAGGAGATCAGGCAGAAAATAATCCAAAGACCATCTCCAGAATATTTGAGACCAATATCCATCCCAGGCATTTTCCCTACACGATTCTTAGAGCACCGTTCAACTTTCTGTTCATCAGAAAGGTTCAAGTTACTTTAGGGGAATCCCAGGGACACCTATGTTTAGGGCACTTGTGAAATTTTTAGGTGCCAAGATGTATGTCTTCAGGATATGGATACTCATTTCAGCAGAGATTCCATTTATAATAAGAATATGGAATTCCTCAATCTTGTGAAAGGGAACTTTTTAAAAATGAGTTTGGACAAGAAAACTAAAGCAAAAAAAAGTAAAAATGAGTTTGTAGTTTTCTTTTCAACCCAGTGGAAAGGGCTAATCTGCAAAGCACACAGGTGATACACATCAGTAACTTGAACAATTTCCACAACACTGTGTTTACCTGTCAAAAACCTGTAAGTCAAGACAGCTGCACAGATTTTGCTCTTACTGCTAAGATCCAGAAATAGTAAAATTTCTACTTTTCATTACCAAAATAACTGGGAAAAAAGTTTTTGTACAGCAGTGAGGACAAAATTGGATGATTCAGGGAATAAAGTGTTGTCACTAAGTTATATACATGGACTCTCTCAGACTCTTAATACAGCTTAACAGGTTGTACTTGTAAAACTTACTGAATGTTGAGCATACTAGAGTTTTTGGTTAAATTCCAAGTGTTCAAATAATTCATAAAGCACAGGAAGATAAATGCTCAAGGACTTGAAGTGATCAAAGTACCCAGAACCAGTTAGTAGGAAGAAAGAGAAAGACACTTAAACAAATAGGACCTAGTAACACCACAGAGATTGTTAGATCATTGCCTAGTCTAGCAAATTTCCTGGTTTATGTTAGTGAAAAATAAAGATTTTTAAATGAATGAATGAGACTATTGGGTGGCCTTGAGTTTTAACAATTAGGTAACTTCTGTGCATCTGATGCCTATACCCTCATCCCCAAATCAAGAAAAGTCAGGTCGGGGCCAGCATCGTGGCATAGTGGGTAAAGTAGCCGCCTGCGGTGCCAGCATCCCATCTGTGCACCAGTTCAAGTCCTGGCTGCTCCACTTCTGATTCAGCTCTCTGCTATGGCCTGGGAAAGCAGTAGAAGATGGCCCAAGTCCTTGGGCCCCTGCATCCATGTGGGAGACCCAGGAGAAGTTTCTGGCTTCGGATCGGCCCAGCTCCGGCCATTGCAGCCATTTGGGGAGTAAACCAGTGGATAAAAGACTGACTCTCTCTCTCTCTCTCTCTCTCTCTGCCTCTGCCTCTGCCTCTCTAACTCTGCCTTTCAAATAAATAAATAAATCTTTAAAAAACAAAAAAAAGTCAAGTCAGGTCTCCCTAACCTCCATTCATTCAACTAGGAACCTTCATCATTAGGTCTCTGCTTCTCTCTCCACCTCAGCACCAGCCATTTCTTTCCTAGAATGTGTGTCCCAATCAACTGTTTCATTCAGGCCTTCAAATGCGATGTGCTGTCTCACCTCTGAGACTTAATGTCACTCTCATAGGGAAAATGTCACATCCTCTCCACCTCAGACTCGTCTAGATTTCATTTCCCTTGGCTAGCCTCTCCTTCCAGGATTCTCTCTGCCTCTGCTCCCCACCTGGCCAGGACTCTGGCTGCCCCTCCTGGATATACCCTCATCTCATTGTGGCATGCCTACTCCTTTAATATTGCCTCTGTTAGACTGGACACACTGAGAGGGCAGCAATGGTTCCTGTGCTGCTCAATCATTGTGTCCCTACTGCTTAGAATGATGCGGGCACAAAAGGAAAGATCAGTCAGCATTTGTTGAGTGAATGAATGACAGAGTAATGTACACCTTTTATGAGAATGAAAATGAAATGGTCCTCTCTTCTGAGAGTCACAAAATCTAAAATAAGTCATAATTGTAAGGTACGGCCGAGAAATTAGCACAGCTAGACTAACTCCTGAGTAAAATTGACTTTTCTCCTGTGACTTTACAGGTTAGCAGGAATATTCAACACTAAAAATTACTTTCCAAAAATTTGAACACAAAGACAACTAAACAACTTTTAGAAAATGGGATTTCATGCCAGCTAAGGAAATAAATCTTTATATTCAAAACTTTGTTTTGGTTGCTGTTAGTAGAAATCTTTTAATTACCACAATAATCTGCTGGACACTTTGATACTATGTTAAATTGATGGATTTAACCCTGACTTTTAGTTTCATCTTAGTAACTCCACAAATTCACATTAGGCAACCCATCTAAAAGTAACCCTATGGGAAAAAAAATGTCTTAAAGAACAGTCTTGAAACAAATGTTTTTCGGTGACTAATCAGAACTGTGATTTTAAAAAGCTGCTCCTGCTCTTACAAAACGTTCCCACAAAAGGATGGTGGAAAATTAAACCCTCAGGGGTTTCATTAGGGACTCGGAGGCTTAATTCAGTGGTCTGACATTATCATCAGCTAATCGGAGTCTTCTCCCCAGTCCTCTCTCCTTCCCTCCCCAAGGGTGGTTGTCATTTGTTTCAAACTGAAAAATTCCAGATTCTTCATGAAAAAAGAAAAGAAATTTTCCGTCCCTAGAAACAATTCCTGAGCCCAGTGGTTAACTACCTTCTCCTCACTTTGCATGCATGTGGCTGCAGCTGCGAGGCTCTGTGATCTGCATGATTAAGAATTACCCTTAATTCTCTCGACAGCCCATCCTGCAGCGGAGGGGCCACCTGAGAAAGAGAGCGGGCCCGAGCCCCCCACAAGACGTCAGGGAAGACCAGCGGCTTCCCTCCACCCCACGTCTCCGCACAAGACTTCCCGTCCCATCCACGTGGTGTAATTCTTCTCACAAGTTCCTCCGGTGTAATCCGTTCCTTTTGGTTTCTCTGCCACCCTCCCCCCAATCATCTGGACCCAATTTACAAACCCCAAACTGCCCAAGAATTTATGCAGGGCCTTTTCTGGGAGCGTCTGGAAGGGAAGTGTAAACCAGACAAGACAGGGGCCAGGAGCAGAGGATCTGCTTTAAGCGCCACGCGGTCGGGCACAGCGGCGGCCGGGAAGGTTAGCACGTGGGCCTCGCCGCGAGGCAGGGGCGGCAGGGAGGGCCAGGGAGGGCCGCGCTCACAGGCTGCGGGGCCTGGCTCCGGGCGGGCCGGCC